CTGCAACTGGCTTATCTACATGCCTAAGTTGATTATATCCTTGAGAAAAGCTACGGGATTGCGAACAGAGTCTACGTTGCGCTGCTGGCTTTGGACAGATCAGGGGACTAGGATTCTGGTCTCCGTGTGTCCGCAGGGAGGAATCCTTGCATCGAGACTTCCACTGTCTAAAATCTCTTCGAAATTCTTGCTGTTTAGATTTACGAGAGGCTAATCTTCTAGCATAAGAGGACTGTGAACGATATCCTCTTGAGGTTCCCCTGAGAGCGCGTCGATCTTGGTAGCCGCTTTGGACCGAACAGGTTGGAGCACTCTGTGACACTGGATCAGCAGGCATAACGTAAATGTCGTCGCTGTCGTCCATAACGTAACTGTCGTCTTGACCCGATGGGTCATCATAACGTAAATCTGTCATATCGTAAATCGGTGGTTGGTGCCCGGGCTCGGAGAGGAGCTCACTCGGGCACTTGTCTTCCAGAATCTTCCATAGGCTTGGAGGTAGGTCCAGCGGCTTCCCGGCCCGCCCCTTTGGAGGCGATCGACCGTAGCATGATCCCATATAATCTAGGGGATGTGGGTCTGTCAGTATCCATTTCAAAACTTTGTCCTCTTCTATAATACTTGATCCAGAGCTTATTTTTGCCGTAGAAAGCATAATCAAAGATGACCATGCCATTAGGAAGAGAAAAGGAGGTTTTCCATGACCGGTGATCGGTACTTTGGGGTATCTATCTCAAAGAAGACATAATTACCATTAAGGGAATGGATTAACTTGTTCAAACTCTTAGAAGCAAAGCCCATAAACTTCATTTGCTGCTGATAGCATTTCGGCTGCTTGAAGCTAAGCAGATGCTCGCAAAAACTGGCCTTGGGGCACTCATATTCTATAGCGGTTTTGCGAGATCTGTGAGTGGCTCTCACTTTACTGGGTGAAAAGTGGAAAGGTGGATCTAAGTCTGCTAAGAAGTCTGACCTATGCACGGCTTTGCACACACTGTATGTACACGGGGCAACGCCCACTAGAGCTTTCCATGTGATGGAGAACTCCAAAAGAAAAAGAATGCATAACGTAAATCGGATGGCGAAGGGGAATCCAGGTCCCCAAACACCTAACGTAAATCTTTCTATTGGTAAATCTTGCGTGGCCGATAGAGCGCGCCATGGGCAGGAGGCTTCCGAGGGGTTGAATTTGGATAACGTACACATGATGCTTGGACTCAACGGCCCAGAGGCATCTAACGTAAATCTTTCCATTGGTAAATCTGCAGCTGAACCACGCTGGTTCACACGGGAGCTTCCCATAAAAGTGAGTGAAGCCGAGGTTGACGAATCAGCTATCGATAGCCACCTGGGTCAGTCGGTGACGTAAGGGTTGACGGAAAAAATAGGATTGTCCTTTATAGGAGAGTTGGATGCAGATCCAAGACATTATGTTTCTTTATTGTTCATGTGTCTGCCTAGATATTGATCTCTATGAGAGTACAGTTGACTACAGGGGGAGATGGAGTAAAGGACCTGGCCATAAATTTCTACAAACGCATCGTTAGGGGCAACTAGATTTTGCTTGGTGATGGTTTGGATCTGGAGCAAGGTTGCTAACTGCGCATAGATATGGAGCAAGGTTGCTAACTGCGCATAGATATGGTCAAAAAAGGAGGATCCTGCTGAGGCTAGTCTCTTCAACGGAGCATTGGTGAAGGGCGCAAGGCCCCCAAAAACATCTGTGAACAGTGGGGAGTCATTGATAACCTCTGTGAGCATATCAGTAAACTGTTAAACTGTTGGAAGTAGGTTTGATTTTGGGAGGGTAGCAAGTTGTTCAAGAGGGCCCCGAAGGCTGGAATGTCCCAAACGGAGGTAATCTGGCAATACTCTAAAGCCATGCTGTAACTTGTTCTGACCATATGATCCCAAGGGAGCCAAACCAAGGTAGTAAGATCCTTGTAGGTAAGGTTTAAAGAAGGGATACTACTGGGTCTGGGGAGATTGTAGTCTGAAATCACACTTTCAACTAAGAGTAGCAGAGCCTCCTGAGTGATGGTAAGAAAAATAGAGCAACCCTGAACATTGCATGAGGGAACAGAATTACCTAGCTGGGTAAAGAATGGGGAGGTCATCGTGAATGAAGACTTAGAAGGAGATTGGTAGTTGATGGGGTCGGTCCATCGGGGAAGCTCATAAGGAGGGTCATCATCGGGTTCCAAAGGATTGACTAACTTATCCCACCAAGTTTGGAGTGCCTCGGAGGCATTATGATATGTATCACCATAGCAGGCATCTCTGAGGGCTTCAAGAAGCTCATGAGAGGAATCTTCTAAGGTGGCAATGAGTGCTGTTTCATACCCTAACTAGAGAACATTGTTGTAAGGGCAGAGAGGGGGACGCCTAACCGCATGAATCTTGCAGATGAAATCTCTGTAAAGAACACAACCTAAACAATCGCCTGTACCAAATATGTCTTCAGACCCTGAGCAGTTATCTCCACTTTGGAGCATTACAGGGCATGGGAAGGATTCAAGCTTCGTCTCCTGGAACTTGTTGATAGTCCTAAAGGGTTTGGTGAGGTAATCAGTGTTGCCAATGTTCATGTGTGCAAACTTTGCAAGAAGAGTTGGTGCCAGCTAGGGCCATGCATTCGGAGCAGGGAAAAATATGAGTCTTATTATCAACTTCCAAGTCACGCTTCTTGGAGCAGTTGCCTTTGCCTTGTCCGGTGGATCCGGAGGATCCGTGCGATGGAGCCGTCCAGGAGCTATTGGCTCCCCAACTGTCATAATCCTGTCGGTTGTACCAAGCACTGGGCCTAGAGCGTTGGGAGTAATCCTCGACATTCTGATGACATCGATTTTGATAGGGCTTGGGGCGGAATTCTTTGTTTCCTTTACCTTCCTGCTGGAGCCTATCAAAGACTTCACCTTTGCCTTTGGAGCCTTGACCTTTATAGCCTTTGGATCTAGATTTGTCCTTTCCCTTTTCTTTGCCTTTATCCTTTCTCTTGGAGTCTCGGTTGCTTTTGCCTTTATGTCCGAAGTCGGCGTAAGACATGTTATAATCTTGCATAGCTTGTTGAATGAGAGGCTGAATGCCGGAGAACCCCTGAACTAAAAAAGCAAGGTTTTCGGTGAGCTGAGCTGACAATGTGGAGTCAAGTTCTATGGGGTAAATGTCATAGGGGAAGAACTTTACCGAATCAGCGCTGGAAATGTTGGAACCATCTTTGGACTGTCCATAGTGGTACCTAAGAGCGGTGGTAGAATGCCTGGAGGACTGGGTATATCCCTGAACAAAAAGCAAGAAGGATTTCATCTTATCTCCAAAGATTTTGGGGAAGAACTCCACTACTATGTTGAACACATCTTGATGCAAAAGGAGCTGGCACTGATACTGCAAATGCTTGCTGGGAAGACACACGACCTGAGCCAGAAGGATTTCGTTGCCTTGGTCATAGAGTTGGAGGGAGTTAAGTTCAGGTTTCAAATACTTCTCAAAGAAGGGGTTCGGAGTAGCATCCGTGTGAGGAGTTTTGTTAAGTACATCAATAATGGTCAAAGAGGAACCCTGTTTAGTCGTTCTTGGAGCGGGATATCCTTTTCGATTTTGAGCTGAATGTCTTCTTGGAAATCCGAGTGCCAATATCTACGCTTTTGTTGAATCCTTGAAGGAAAGTCTTACTGGAGCTTTCTTGCAGAAATATGATACGGAGAAAAGCGAGGTCGACGTATGGAGGTGGTTACTAGCGGATTGAACGTCTTCGTTGGAGAGACCCGACTGCTTTAGGAGGTAGGTCATATTCTGTGAAATGCTGGACATATTGGAAAATAGGGGGATATTGTAAATGATGACTGATTGTCTTTGTTGCTCTGACTCTATGGCGTTGAGGGTCTGGGAACCTAGGAAGTTTCTGAGCTCCGAGCGTTCAAGGCGGCTAATCACTTCCTGACGGATCTGCTTATTGAAGATATCAAAGGAAGGCTGGACCGTAGTCTCGTGGCTCTGAATGGTTTCCTTTATGTTGTCTAGAGTTACAGAGTCTGGAAGGGTGATTGAGGGAGAAAGCTCTGGGAGGGTCACGTTGGTGCTTGGTTGAAAGGAGCCTAACGAGGTGTCTAGCTTCGCCATCTTTTTGGGGGAGCGAAGAGCTTTGTAAGCTTGTAGCATAGACGGAGTACTTTGCAACATTCGGGCGAATGAGGGGTCCATATCGCCCCACTCTATGGGTTCTTCTTCATCTTCCTCCATTTGGGAGGCTAGTGCGGTCGGGATAGAGGAGGAGGCTACTCTCTTCAGATTTTGTTTGAGGAAAATTTGGTAAAGCATCTTGGAAATCTTTTCCTTCGTACCTGCTGTTGTAACGTAAATGTTTCCATCCGAAGGTCTCTCTACCTTGGAATCAGGTCTTAAAAGAGTAGTGTCCACAACTGTAGGAGCGAGCATCCGGCTTGCTAAGCTGTTGTGAGGTTTCGGCTTTTGCTGCCAGGAGCCCTGGTGGATCTTCAGCGGAAGCTGCAGAGTCAGTGGGCGCAGTTGGTGTCGCAGTCGGAGGTGGCTCGGCTTTGGTGGCATCCGCTGCCATGTCCGCGCAGAAGGAATCTAGCTTAGAATACAGAACATGAGAAAGATAAATGCAAAGACCGCTAAATCCCCTATAGGCCATGTGAACGTGAAGAATCAAGAACAGGCATGAGCGACGCAAAGGACCTCAAAGGGATCGGCTACCGCTCTGAGCCTCATGGAAAGTCTTATTGTTCGAAATATTTGCACCAAAAACACAGCTGTAGCAAGGTTGTGCTAAAAATTCTCTGGCTTCGAGCTGAGTTCATGCTCTGTAGTGCATCCACAAGTATGATTTGCTGTGCAGAAATGTAGTTTAAGCCGTTTTAAACCTGTGAAAATCCATCCTGGCCTCAGAAAGGCAAAACAATCATTGGGAGCCTACCTTCCAGAAGGTTTTTTGAGGCAGAGAAGCTTCGTGTCTCGAAGGTAAGATGACATGACCTGGCCTCGCAGCGTATTCTCCAGTTCCGATGTCCAAGTCTGCAGTCTCAAGATGTCTCAAAAACTCGCAACGGAATTCCACACTTTGGATTAAGTAGGAACCATGCACTCTGACTCTTCCGTCCAGATCGCGGCATGCCTCCGGGACTGTTTCTCGCAGACTTGCCGAATTATCCTACCCCAAAAGCACAATCTTGAATAGCCACATGCTACGCTGGCCTCGTAAACTGGATCCTGAGGTATGTGGAAAGAAACAAAGGACGGAAGTGCCAAGAGGATGATCGACATGCACATCGGAAGGTGTAGTAGGAAAATTTGGCAGCAACCTGGTCACTGTTGTCTGGTGACGGCTAGATTACTTGGAGAAGACCTCCTTCCCTCATCAGTGCGGGTCTTGATGCCTGGCGACTTATTCAGCTAGCAAGCCTCAGAAAACTGTGCAGTCACACCCCGCCCCGCAGTAAGCATTAGCGAGCTATCCTGTATGCGGGGGCAGCCAAGGTCCGGGCTCCTGTATCATGGGTGCCGGTGAACTTGCTCACGTGGTAGACCACAAGGGCTTCTCCCTTGAAGTTCTGTGTCTCCAGGATGCCCTGGCACTCAGGAGAGGCTACCCCCTCAGCAGTCGAGTACGAGATCGAAGAACACCAAATCCACGCAGCAAGCTGAGTTGCAAAAGCCAGTCTTGTCCACGTGATGTGTTTGCAACTCATCAGCTAGGAGGGCACTATTCACTAGTCACACTGACATGCCTTCATGCCTTCGTACTATGCTGGAAACCCTTCGCTTGCCCAGAAAAGCCTCTTCCATGTATAGCTCAATCTTCTTGATTTTTCCATACCTGCAACTTCCGTAAGCACATCCCGCACCATCAGCCATGGCAGGAGAAGTGCAACGACTTAGGCCATTGCTGACCAAAAAGCTGTCCCAGAGCAAAGTGAAGCGCTTCATCACCTTGTTGAGCCAAGACCGTGCTTCGCAACATCCTGTGCCAGCACCGTGCCCTTGGGCACCAGCCACCTTGAAAGTTCTTTGGAAGCTCGTTAACGAATACCGCAGATGAGGATGTGTCACCTCCAGGCCCCTGCTGACTTGCTCGAATCTGCACGACTTGAGGCAACTTGTTCTAGCAAATTGCTGTCCATGGACCGTCTACGGCCCTCTCCCTCTGGATTGACTAGCAGACTAACTCTTCTACCATCAGCGTATGAGCTTTGCGGCCATACATGGCCATACCCTGCTGCAATTAAGTCAAAGAAACGGATAATACGTCCCCATGTTGCTACCCTCTCAAGACATACACGGCAGTCAGACGTCGTAGGTGGCAGCCCAATCCAAGGAGGCAACAAACAAGCCCTGGCTAGCAAGTAGTAACGTGAAGATGCGGTAGACTCAGCGCATTTTAGGAATCACTGATGCTAGCGTCGGCACCCTGCTGGCTAAAACCTCAACTGTCCAATGTGCCCGCACCAAACCTGCTGCCAAAGACTTGCATACATAACATTCTGGAAAGGACAGAAGAAGCGTCAACAGTCCGCCGGCGGGCATTTACGAAATGGCTACTGACGCAACTACTTTCCGCCCACAGACAAACAGCCAATGTTGAAGCAATTGACGGAACCCTTGTTTCAAGACAAAGGTCCTGAACATGTGAACCATGCGCAGACTGAAGTTGGGATTCTTCAGGCTTGCGACTTGCTGGTGCAACCTGTCAAATGCACAGCCATGAAAACACCGCCAACCCAAGCTGTTGGTGCAACACGAGCTGCGCTTTTCAAATTGTGTTGTTTTCTGCTTTGCTTGTATGCTTTCGAGTGCTGCCATAATGTTCAAGATATCTATAGGCCGGGGAAAAGCTTCCTTGCCCAATTCACATAAGCCCTGCACAGAGATCAAGAGCGTTCATCTGTTTCCTCATGTCATGTTGGTGAAAGACTGTTCAGGCAATAGAGCGCTGAGGGAGTTCATTACCCCCAGGTCCATGTCATAAAAACTGCTTATGTTAATTTACATGCAGATGGAACCCTCTACAGTCTATCCTATACACACGCCTTCAATAGAAAAGAGCATGTTCAACGCATGCTACAGAGGCCATGTCTAGAGCTGAAAACAAAACAATTTTTAGCAACACTTCCCTGACCTGAACAGTGTCAAGTTTTGAAATCTGCGACTCTGAAGCTGAGATTTCACACAACCGAAAACTATTGAGTCGCGGGGGGGAACAGGAGACTAACAGAGGTCCTATCAAATCACCTTGCAGCAAAATCGCAGGAATAGAAACGAACGCCTTCGCACGTTTGCATGGCACTCTCGAAGAAACAAAGGACATGCAGTCGCGTTTCGATGTCAGCTCCTAGCTGCTCCGATTGCTGGACAGCCATTCCTGGTTTGAGTCTAGTAAATACAAAGTCTGGTGGCTTGTCCGCAGCTCTGTCTGTCTTGTTGGAAATATGCAGTTAGCGCAGCTGAAACACAGGCCGGCTCTTGCCTATGGGTCGGCCAATCGAACTGGCATCAACAAGAATCCCACCACCTTGGTCCGGTCTTCACTGGTCAATACTGGAAGCGAAGAGCTTCAAGCAGCAGGACTTGCCTGGGTTGGCCGGATCGACCAGAGCCATGGCCGTCAAGCTACAAGTCTACCATTTCAGCAATGCATTTCGGCGCCATAGGCTCCACATGTTCGATCTCTAGGCAGAGAGAGTGGATACATGCGTTGCGGCATAGCAATTCACGATATTGACTTTCGTACGTCTCTGTACGCTGTGGTTGGCAGGGCATAGGTTCCAAGTCGCAGTGGAGGAGACGGCGCAGCGTCATACTGTTTGAGTCGTACTGTTGAAGAATCTTTCCTAGAATGGCGGAGTGGCAAGAATTCTCCTTAGACTCATGGTACGAGCTTGTGAGCGAACCTGAGCTATGCAAAGCGGCAGGGTCGAGCACAAGCACTGTCATTTTCTGGTGTGGGGCAGAAGAGGCAGAACCGCAACCGCTGCTGGCACTTGCCCTAACAATCCACTAACAATCCCAAAGCCTGCTCCACAAAAGAACTAGGGCTAGATGCATCCAACCTGCCGACGTGTGGGAGAGTTGGCTCTATCAGAAGCATATCATGCCTTTGGCAAGGAGTCGCACAGGCACGGCTGTCTCCTATCTCTGAAACACCAGCACCAAAGGCACCGGGCTTCAAAAGACTGTACATGTGGAACTTGATCTACATCACAGCTCGCGCACGCCCTTCAAAATTGCGGCGCAATCAACGTGGGGTACACACTGTTGTGTAGGCAAAAGCGCGACTCATTTGCGGCGCGTATCGACCAACACCTCTCCAGGAAGCCGACTGATGGCTAACGTCCACCCCTGGCCTCAGGTCCCGCGTACCATGTACTTGCTCTTCTCAAGCTGCGAGATGTGCGAGATGCTGAAACTCTGTGGATTGAACTGCACCACCTGCGGCCAGCAAATCGGAACATGCGTCAGATAAAATGGCTTGCTTCCATTTCTAGCAAGAGAGGATACTACTACAAACGTTTGTCTTTGAAAGAACACTAGATTTGATACCTCACTTGGACGGAAAGAAGTGTCTACCGAAACACAAGAGCATCGTCTTGGTCGAGTCAAGCCATCTTTGCTGTCTTGTGCACTGCAACATGAGGGGGGGAAGGGCAGAAAGCTGCTGCTTGGGTGTCTGTTCTTATGCCGTGCTCTCGTCTATCAGAACTATCAGCACGAGTGACTTCGCCGCTGCAGAGCCTTCTAACAAAGCAATCCTGGAAACAGATTCCAAAGCACTGCAGACCGAACCTTGATCCCGAGGCTGCATGAGGTTGCCCCCGCTGGATTTGTAAGCACCTCGGACAAAAGGCGATCAGCCCAAAAGCTGGTCAAACTCATCAGCTCGCGAAATCGAGAAGCGAATGGAAACAAGGAAAGCATTGAACTTTGCACGGCGCCACAGTGTATTGTTGGTATGGCCCAGCTGGATCCTCCCACTCACGCTGCTGCACGCAATCAGATCCAATCAGCCAACATTGCACAAACATAGCCAGCGACGCCATGCTGACAGGTGGACTTGCTGGCGTGCCCCAGATGGTCCCTGTCAAAGGATCCTGGCGTCAGAAGCGAGGCGCTGCAGTGACGAAAGCACCCATGTCTACAGTACAGGATGTCTAAAGGTCTTCTACGGCGGACAACGAAGAATTCGTTTCTAAATCAGAAGCACAAGAACCTTAAGCATAATCCAAATGATCCAGCCGAGCCGAAGGCCAGCTGCAAGCCCAGCGGCAATTCGGCCTCACCATCCATGCATGCATCAGCTCTCACATTCTCGACCATGCCGATGTTGCTGATGATGTTGTTTTTTATCCGACGCGGCCTGATCCGCTACAAACACACTTCCGTTGCCTCTTCATCTGTAGCGATCATGTTAACTTGGGACCAAGCCAAGGATGATTGAAAGCTAGCAGGTCGGTTTCTGTGGTTGGTTAACTGTTTCGGCTGACCTGCCGATGCCGTCGCGCAGCATCTGCTTCGTTTGGGAGATGGGGGATGTTGGGGGTGATGTTAACAGCTGCTGAAAAGAAAACTAGCGCCAGCAAGACGCGCCAACCAAACTGTTAAAGAAGAAGCCTTCACCGAGGACAGTATCGTGTTGGTTTAAGCTGTGACAGTCGAGTAAACCCCTTCCCAAATATTAACCCCCCCCTTAATCAGAAAAATAAATTCATGGATTCATGTGCCTAAAAACCTGAAGAGCACTGATGAAAGAGGAACGCTACTTTTGAAGGGGGCCACCTGATAGTGAATTGGAGGGTCTGAGGTCACTAAGGGGGTAAATACAGAATCCAAAAGAATTAGGGATCTCCTTGATTTCCTAGATTTTGATATTTCATAAGGGAATTCTTTATGACAGAACCTAAAGAGTTCTACTTGAAATTAGGGACCTCCTTTGCTGCCTGGATTGGTATTGTTCTTTAGAAGTTGTCTACATGGCAACTTACATAACAAAATCTCGAGGAATTCTACTTGAAATTAGTGACCACCTTTGCACGCTCTATGACCTGTGGAATCTTGAGTTTGATGCCACCAAAACCATCAATTTCTCATTGCACTGCTTCTTCGAACAGGCTCGGCAATCAAATTCCGTACAAGTAGTCCAGCAGAGCCGCTGGCCCTGAATGTTGCGCAATGATCTACATGATCTGGGGGTGATCAATTATGCCATGGGTTTTTTAGCTGAGTTAATTGTACGACAAAATATTAGATTTAAGCGCTTGGGCTTGAAGTAAAAAGGCAAGCTCTATTACTTGTGGAATCTAGAGTTAATGCCGCCAAAAAAATTGATAGCTTATCAAAACCAAAACCAGTTCCGAAACCAGGAGGAATCCAGGACGCCAGGATTTCCGTATCAATTTCAGTGAAACTTCATAAGGGCCTATATGGGCCAAAACCAGTTGCAAAACCAGGAAACCTGGATTCGATTCCAGGAATTCTTGTATCTATCAATGTGACGGGAAAGCGCGACTGCGGAACCACGCCCCGGTGAACTGGGGCATGCACCGGGTATGCGCCGGGTGCGCCGGGTATGCGCCGGGTATGCGCCGGCTACGCCGGGTATGCGCCGGGTACGCCGGGTATGCGCCG